TGAGGGCAATGAATGTACAAATGTGCTTTACACAATTGATGTATGTATGGATTGTGATAAGAGTTGTATGAGCCCCTAATAAAATGATTTTTAAAAATATCAGAATGAAAAATAATCTGTTCTACCACCTTGAAAATCCAGTTTTCATCTTTTGAATCTATAGTATAAAAAGGAATCTCTAAAAAGTTGTAACCCTGACTGGATCAACAACAGTTCTCCTGTGGTCTTCTGCTGGCAAGATAGTAACAGCTGCCTCTTTTCTGTTTGCATTCCCTAGGTTTCTGCATCATGTTTGGAAAGAAAAAGAAGAAGATTGAAATATCGGGCCCATCCAACTTCGAACACAGGGTTCACACTGGGTTTGATCCTCAAGAACAGAAATTTACTGGCCTCCCCCAGCAGTGGCACAGCCTGTTAGCTGATACGGCCAACAGGCCGAAGCCCATGGTAGACCCTTCATGCATCACGCCCATCCAGCTGGCTCCTATGAAGGTATGGAGAGAATTTGTCTTTAAGTTGTCTTAAGGGGTACCATTTTTATGGGTAAGCAATAAAAATGCCTAAACTATGTGTGTGAAAAACATCCAGATTATACATCATTATCCTTGTAGGATTATAATACTTACCGCTTATTGTAGATTGCATCAGATGAGAAGGGGGTCTCAGCTTTCAATCTGAGTTGGGTTTCTTTAAACCAGGCAAAATGCATTCATAAGAGAGGAACGTTTATTTCTACTTTAAATGGTGCTTGCTGAAGATGTATCTATCCTCTCGGGCTAATATTGGAAATTACTTCTGATTAAACAACATATTAGACAACCTTTGTTTGTTTTTTTTATTCTCTCCCCAAGAAGTTTAACCTTTTTTTGTATATAAAGGTTTAAACCACAAGATTGTGATAATAAGCAACTATATATAAACTTGTCTACATAGCCAACAATGGAGCCATTTGATACCAATAATTTGAGTCTATAATAGGGTATGATTTACCTTAGACAAATGACTAGTCAGTTTTTGGTAAGGCATGTTTATGAAAATAACTACAGTAACAAGAGTATGTTTTCAATACACCAAATAACTATAAAGAAAATCCAGCCAGTATAGTTTCATTCCATACCTCAGAATAATAAGAATTCCACAGACCACCATATAATTGCCCAACAGCTAGCTACAGGAATGCATTCATAATTGAAGGTTATCATCATTGTGTTATCCAATATTCTATTCCAGAATTCTATAAACCAGATAAAGCATTAAGTCCAGATTATTCTCATGCTTATTCTATTAGAAGGCATCTCGGCCACTTAAGTACTTTATTCTAGGTTGAAGTGACTATTGAATAAATTTGTTTAAATGATATGCAAAGCTTAAGTGGATTAATTTTTAAAGGATGCAAGAATGGATCCTAGCTGATAAATTATGGGGAATATTTATGTGGCCTGAACTGAATAAATTAAAAATTATAATTTTGTTAGTCATGAATAGTTTTATTCATTCTTTTAATTGAATACATGAGTTTGTTCTTCACAACAAAAGTAAGCTCTTATTTTAAATAGGTATTGATTGCTGTTTCATAGAAACTGGCCAATTAACCAACTTCACGGGTTAATATTAAACAATATCCTACAATTGAACATAAATTTCTCCTTATGAGGATGGCAACAAATGTACAAATGTTCTTGACACAATGGATGGATGTATCCATTGTGATAAGAGTTGTATGAGCCCCCAATAAAATGATTAACAAAAAAAAAAAAGAATGAAAGTTATGAACGGTAAGGCATCACTGATGACCAAATAACAGAGTGGGCCATAACTTGGGGTTTGAAACTTGGGGTTTGAAAGAAGGCACTGTTTGTTTTCATTATTTTTTTTATATTCCATGTTGTTATAGAAACCCAGAAAATGGAATGGGCAGTATGCCCAGACAAGTCCTCTGCTACTGACCATCATGGAAAATTTTAAATGCCCACATAAAACTAGAATTTACTTTTTAACTCTGTGTTCTATTATGACTGCATGAGGAATATTCCAGACAGGAGCGATATTTGTGTACTATCCTAGCTAATCAAGAGAGAAAGAAGAGGTGCTCTATGCCCATAAACAGTTCCAGACTCAGAAACCTACAGGGGCAGTTCTACCTCATCCTCTAGGGTCACCACGAATCAGAATTGCCTCAGGGGCAGTGAGGTTTTTGTTGTTTTAGTTTTTTTTATTCTAACCAATAGCTCTGGGTGTGTGCTACCTTGTTAAAGAGGTGTGTGTTATTGGTTGAGGACTGAGTATCATTTATTTCGGTATGGCTTTTACTCTCCCAGGTCCTAGCAAGTCCTGGTCAGCAGCGAAGAAAGATGTTCCCAAATCGAATGTATAATGCTCAGGCGGATTGGGGCTTAAGAAAGAACCTCCAAGCTCCTATCTTGCATCTGCTGAATGAGTCGCCTCATTATCCTTCAAGCACAATGTGTCAGCCCTCCCTGAGGGCTGAAGGAAAGTTCCTTAACTTTTGAGATCCTGAGACCTTTACTTATTCCGTGGGACCTCTAACCTTGACCCCCACGAGGAAGCAGCCAGGTTCATGAAATGAAAATGCTGGGAATCGAAATGTAGATGCGAGCTGAGTGATAAATATGCCCCAAGAGTAAAACCAGCCCTCCAAAATCCCAGCCTCGTTGCCATCAAGTCCCTTCCAGCTCACAGTAACCCTGCAGGAGAGGAGAACTCCCCTTGTGGGTTTCTTAGACTGGAAGCTTGGTCTGAGTAGAAAGCGTCGTCTTTCCCCTGCAGAGCGGCTGGTGGTTTTGAATAGCTGACTTTGTGATTAACAACCCAAAACATAACACCTATCCCATGGGGCTTTAAGCCCAGTGTTGCCATCAGGGGTGGGAGGAATTATAAGGAGTGGAAGATTTAACTAGATTGAATCTCCCGCTGAAAGAATGAGTGGAGTGAATGAAATGTTGCTAATGGAAGCACGCTCGAGAAACCTAGGAACTCATACTTTCATACCCCTTTACATTGATCCTCTCCTTTGCATTGATCCTGTTTCCTCTCCCAATACTGCATGTGCAGTTCCTACTGTTGGCATACCCAGGGCAAAATTATTGACTCTAGAATAAGGAAGGTATCAAGATTTTAAGAGGTTAACATATGCCTGCAGTTTGGGGACAAAATCTTCCAAGTCACGTGAGAACAACAATATCCTGTAAAACATGTAGAAATCAGAGCAGTCCTTGTAATAAGCTGGTATGTACTAATAGACATAACTGACTAGATTGTGTTGTGTGGATTGAAAGCCATTTAAAAGGTATGTAAGTTAGGTAGAACTAAAAATTCTAATTTACTTAAATTTCCCTTATAGTTGGCAAAGGAAATAGGTCACAATATCCAAACAGCATATGGAAGAAATGTACAGCACTTTATGTTGAGTAGTTGGGCTGCTAACTGCAAGGTCAGCAGTTCAACACCACCAGCAGCTCTGCGGTTGAAAGATGAAGCTTTCTACGCCTATAAAGAATTTCAGTCTCAGAAACTCACACCCTGTCCTACAGGGTCTCTGAGTCAGAATTGACTCAGTGGCCGTGAGTTTGGCTTGGTTGGTTTTAGAGTGTGCAAGCCAGTTCTGAGAGGGACTATGCCACTATAACCAAGAGTCTTTTCTCTGATTATGCATCTGATAGTCCAAACTTTCTTTAAGTTGCACACGTTTACCAAGAAAATCTCTCTTCAATGTTGATTTTTTCCCCTTTCTTTAAGGTCAGATTTTCAAACCATACTGTGCATTTGAATCACTAGGCAGCCTTGTTAAGAATCCGATTTCTGGGCCAGATTCACAGATATTCTGATTCAGTAAGACTGGGGTGGAACCCAAGAATTTAGATTTCTATTAAGTGCCCAGGTGATGTTGACACTGCTGGTCTGGGCACCACATTTGGAAAACCACCGATTTAGGTCATTAAGAAAGAAATGTTTCCACATAGTATGTGATTAATACAAGACTATACTGAGACACCACAATGCCAGAAAGTTAGCCAAAAGCCACAGTTGAGTTGGGACTTGTGCCAAAAGTGAATGTGTCCAAGCAGGCTAAACCTTAACACCAGGAGTGAAAAGAGGGGGGTTCACTTTAAAGCACTTTGCAAATAGCATGAAGAAACACCTTCTTAAGGTAACGCTATCATTTTGTTCATAAGCATAAAGATATCATTGGCTATATGACCAAAATCCCAGCCTAATAAGGGCCATGGAAGGGCAAGATGAATGATCGCTTCGGTTCTCAGACTTGAGCTCGGATGAGTTCTCCTGTGGGGACTGTTAAAACCCAAACTGCTGGGCCTCACCCGGGATTCGGATGTGATAGGTCTGGGACAGGCCTGTTGTTTTTCACTTCTAACTCTCCGATGATGCTTTGGGCAGGAACCAATTTGAGCTCCACTGCTGTAGGCCAGCTGTGGCTAAAAATTCATGAACACCTGTCTTCTCTGACAGCCTAGATATTACTTGAGAAACTACTAAAAAGGAAAAACACAGAGGATAACATATAAAAGCCTTGGTAGGTTTTACCTAAGTTGAACAAATGATCATGGATCTTCATATTTGCTTCAGATTTCTTTTTAATTTTTAAGTAGAAATAGGGAAATAACACGATAGAGTATGATTTGGTATGGTTAAATTTCATTCAATGGCACCTATTATATGAGGTAGTCGGTAACTTGCATTTGAAATAAATGTATATTGATGCACTAAAAAAAAGTTTATTTTACACGTTTAGTTTTCATTGTTGCTCTATCCACTCATCTACCAGAGATGTTTCCATGTATTTCCTTTTACCATTAGTCCTGTCATGGTGCCCCTGTTCACACCTCCTTGGGTATGTGGTTAGCATTTTTTTTTTTTGGCAGCAGTTCGCAAAATCTAGTACGAGTCCCTGGGGTCCTTCAAATGCTTTCAGGGAATCTATAAGAGCAAAACTCTTTTCATAATAATATGAAAGCAGCATTTGTTCTTTCCCCTCTCGTTCTCTCCTAACCATGCAATGGAATTTCCTAGAAGCCACGTGACATGTAAAGACAGCTAAGGGAGGTGTGTGCTTGGCAGTCTGAGTTTTTCATTTTTTTCCTTCCGGCTTCCAGTTCTCATGTGAAACAGATGACTCGAACATAAGCAAAACTCCTGTGGTGTCTTCAACAGTTTTAAGAGACTCTAGAAACGTTTGAGAACCATTGTCTTAAGGCATAAGGTATCCAATAACCAGTTTTTCATCTTTTTGGTAGAACATCCAATTTGCTTATCTCTGGCTTCTGCAGTTTCCTCTTCACATGCTACCCACAACCCACGTGTTTGTCCCCCTGAAAATTAGACCTCTGCCTTCTTGAGCTGACGGGAAGTCTGGACTTTCACAACGTTCTCAAAAATCGTTTTAAGAGGCCCACCCATAGCACTGTCACCACCTGTAAAATATTCAAAGTGAGAGTCTTGACGTCATTGTAAAC